GCCCTTAGCAAAGGGCCCCGGACCCCGTACTCCCGGAGCACCCCCCACAGGGCGCCGCGAGGGACACGGTCAAATGCCTTCTCCAGATCCACGAAACACATGTGGACTGGTTGGGCAAACTCCCATGAACCCTCCACCACCCCGAAGAGGGTATAGAGCTCGTCCAGTGTTCCACAGCCAGGACGAAAACCGCATTGTTCCTCCTGAATCCGAGGTTCAACTATCGGTCGAATTCTCCTCTCAAGTACCCTGGCATAAACTTTCCCGGGGAGCCTGAGGAGTGTGATCCCCCTATAGTTGGAACACACCCTCCGGTCCCCCTTCTTAAAAAGAGGGACCACCACCCCGGTCTGCCAGTCCAGAGGCACTGTCCCCAACCGCCATGTGACGTTGCAGAGGCGTGTCAGCCAAGACAGCCCCACAACATCCAGAGACTTAAGGTACTAAGGGCGAATCTCATCCACCCCCCTTCCACACACACACATACATACCTGGATTTTACCACATTCCAGCAAGGATGTGTGGTAAAATGGCCAACAGGATTATGAAGTGTGCAATGTCTGTCCAGGGCAGAGCAGCCCAAGAACTTAAAAGTATTGTAAAAACCTAACTTGGGGTTCAGAGAATGGATCTCCTGTGGGAGCTCTGTCTCTCTGAATCCAGCGCTGTAAAACTTCACCTGTGCTCAGACTTTCAGTAAACTTTCTGTTGATTTTAAACAGTCCTCTCCTGTCTTCACTTCTCGCGCTTCCGACACAAGAATTGGGTTAATTTCTAACAAGAGCTTTAACAGAACAACAAAAAGTTTGCCCTAATTCTGCTCAAAACAGACAAGTGCACAAAGATTGATGAGATCAAGATGGCGGTGCGTAGGTACGCAACGGCTCAGGGCTCTCGGCCTTTTGCTTTTCTATTCGTATCTTTGTTCTTGTTTTTGTTGTCACTACAGTTTTCTGAAGCTACCATCCAGTATGGAAGAGCTGAACTACTTACAATAGGGAAACAATACAAACTTTGCGCATCCACGAAGCCGGACTTTATTCCACCAGAGTTACACCGGACCACTACGGCTCTCACCATCCCCCCTTTGTGGCCAAGGAGACGGAGGCGACATCATAAACAAAAGAGGGGTAAGAGAAGCGGCCTGCGTGCTAGGCTACATGCTAACCCACACAGGCCGGCGCTCCCTAGTCTCTTCCTCACAAACGCCATGTCACTAACCAACAAAATGGACGAGATTCGGCTAGGGATTGTCTCTCGGAGGAAGGACAGCTGTGTGGTGATTATAACTGAAACCTGGTTGGATGACAACATCCCAGACGCTGCGGTGGAGCTGGAGGGACACTCCTTGTTTCGAGCAGACAGGACTGCAGCATCTGCTAAACAGAGAGGTGGAGGTCTGGCGCTGTACATCCACAACTTCTGGCGCACAGCTACGACCATCATCGGAACACAATGCTCCCCCGACTTGGAATATGTGGCAGTGAAATGCAGGCCTTTTAAACGGTGAGAAAGATTTGCTCAATCCTGATTGTAGCCGTCTCAATACCACCATGAGCTAATGCTAAATTAGCGCTGGAGGAGCTGTACTACCTGGTCAGCAGGCAGAACGCAAACCCAGAAGCGGCTGTGATTGGGGCTGGAGACGTTAACCATGTGGAACTTAAAGCAGTGTTTCCCAGATTCTACAGATTCATCAATTTTCCAACCAGGGACAATAACATCCTGGATCAGGTTTATTGCAATATCCGGGGAGCATACAAGGCCATAGCAGCTCCACACCTGGGCATGTCAGATCACATCTCTGTGGAGCTGATCCCAGCATATAAACCTCTGATCTGCAGGACAAAGCCAATCACCAAAACAGTTAAGGTGTGGA